GACAGCAGCCCCTCCCGGTGCCTGGACCCTGGATCAGAGGCGGGACAGCAGAGGATGCTGGCCTCATCCTTCATCTTCAGTGCCACCTTTCAAGTAAATGACAACCCAGGAAATAAAGGCTTTCCTCCCACCAAACTGGGCATGTAAAGAACGCTTCACATGCAGCATTTTTCCTGACAGATATGTTACCTTATTTCAACTTTGGAAGAAAAAATTCAAAGAGCACTGACATCGGGTTTAATCTTTTAATGGAAAACTCCCCGGAGAACAAGCAGTAACCAGTGGGGAAAGCAACCTCTGTGAACCAGGGGGTAAGAAGGAAGCCTGCGGGGAGCGGCGCAGAAACCAAAACACAAAACCCTCTCCGGCCGTCGTGAGCCTGGCGTGGCGCGTTCAGCCGAGGGCCACCACACGCGTTGCGTCACTGTCTTGTCGGGCCACGAGGAAGACACCGCAGACGCCATGTCCCCGTTTCAAGGGAAGGAGGGCAGCGCTCACGGAACAAGTGAGCAGCCTGGCCGGAGTCTCCCCTGCCCCAGTGCGGGGCCCGGGTGGGAACTGAGCCGGGGGTGGGGGGCGCCTACAGAGGTGCCCTTTCTGCACCAGGGACCAGTCCTCGCTGTCACCACCCAGCCCTCTGGGGGACAAAACTGACTGGCAGGTGTGTGTGTCTGTTGAGACCCTGCGGGCTCAAAACTCCCTTGTCCCCCGTCCCCTGGCCGACCCGCATGCCCCTGCTGTCTCCAAGTCTCAGCCTGGCTGGGGACGCCCTGCAGCCACATGCGTCTGCACGGCGGCCACAGTCCCTCACCTGCGGGCCCCCCACGGGGAGGCTCCACGTGCCTCCCAACCACGTGACCCCCACGCTGTCCGGGAAGAGGACCCAAGTCCCGGAGCCCCAGGGGAGGCCTCCCAGGAACATCGAGAGTATTTTTGAGCAATCGATGCCCTTTTTCAGACTTGTGAGGCTAAAATGAGGTGGGCGAGCCAGGAACTTGGGCAGCGAGCAGGGGGGCAGTGAAGAGCAGCCTCTCTGCTCCTGCAAAAACCGTCGACCCGTCCCTGCCAGCAACGCGGCCACATTTCAACCCCAGGAGCACGAGGGAGCTGAGGACGCTGGATCCAGGGGGGGCACCGGACCCGGACACGCCTGCCGCCCAATGCCGCCTGACCACGAGGCCCCTATGGGCCTGGGTGTCCTCCTGTGAATGTGCTCCACAGGGGGCATGCGAGGATGAGGGGGGTGACCTTTACACCTGCCTGACGTGTCCCCTCCTGAGCACACGAGCCCGGCCTCTCACAGTCCAGCGCCCACACACCAGACACTTCACTAGCACCTTCAACCCGCTCTGCTGCCCCCCGCAACCCAACCAAGTGCCAGCTTCCTACTCCAGCCTGACCTATGGCTAACAGCCCCTTGGCAGCCTTTTCAACGCAGCTTGTCATCTTTCTTACTAGACTCTGAACTTACCACAGAGGATTTTTATGTGGTTCTGTCTGCACACCACATCTGTGCACGCGTGCCATGTGTATGATGCATGCATCTATCGACCACCTTGTATACCTATCACCCACCTATGTCTATCTACCTACATCATCTATTTACAACATCTGTCATCTCTCTCAGTCTCCATGACCTGCATCAGGCTGCCCACGTGGGAAAAACTCAAATCACACCCCACCCAAAACCATCAACTCCTCCCCGCAATGCCCCCAACTCTGTGGTACGCCCTTGTCTCTGACGCCCTTGTTTCTGAAGCTTTCCTTTCCTTTTACCCAAAGATAATCAAATGGAAACCACGGAATATCTTCCCTCTGCTACCTACAGTATCTTCAGAGATGAAGAAATTCATTGATATTCGGCTAAGTTCGTGAGTTGCTGGACATCTATCTTTTAATCTCAGACTCAGGCACTATGTACACACACACACACACACACGTTACACAGTCACATCTAGTCCCTTTGTGGAGACATCCCATCAGTGTGAATGAGTATAAATGATCCTCACAAAGAATGCAGACATTCCACGCATTTTCACAATTACACTGGGGCTGATACTCAAAATATGTAGGCTCGCTGCTGGGTTAACCCCTTCCTTGCTGGACCAGGAGAGGCCAGTGGACGAGCCCAGGTGGATGGAATGGCTGGGAGTCTGTGCCAGCAGGTAATTCCCGCCAGCACAGCCGTCCTGGTGTTAAGCACGGGGGTATCAGCCCTGCGCATCCTACCTGCTGCTGAGACAAGCCTTCGGGCATCGGGGTGAGGATGGCTTCCGGGTGCTTGCAGTCCACATCAATGAACAAGTTCTGTTCCTCTTCAAGACACGGTCTGTGGTCTTAAAGGAAGACAGAATGTGCTAGTTTCACATTGAAACAGGATATAACATCACAGCGCAGTCAAGTTGGCTGTCAAAGCAACGCCTTGGGCAGACGCCTCAGTTCTACGTCTCCTTTCCACCCAGCAATGAGTAAAGTGAAGTTTTAACAAACCCAAGAAAATATCCTTCCCACAAGAGGAATGTGGTGGTTGTTGATATTTGAGATTTTCAATACTTGAAGTCTAACTTCAAAAAGCCGAGGGGTCATTTGAACACCTAGGCGGCAGAGTAGAAATACATATTTCAATTTCTTAATCTATAACATATCAAAGTCAGAAACAAAGAAAAGCAGCTATGAATGACTAGGAACCAACACCCAATAGTCGGGGAAAACGAAGGGGGACTTAGTAACTTCCTGACTTTCTCCCTTTCTCACTAGAAATCTGGAAAAAGCACAACTTCCCCAAGATCAAAAATTCTAGACCAAAATTAAATTCATTTCTAAAAACTTAGATGCAGCTAAGTAATCTAAGTAATTCACAATGGGGCTTCCCCAGTGGCACAGTGGTTGAGAGTCCACCTGCCGATGCAGGGGACGCGGGTTCGTGCCCCGGTCTGGGAAGATCCCACGTGCCGCGGAGCAGCTGGGCCCATGAGCCGTGGCCGCTGAGCCTGCGCATCCGGAGCCTGTGCTCCGCAACGGGAGAGGCCGCAACAGTGAGAGGCCCGGGTACCAAAAAAATTTTTTTTTAATTAAAAAAAAGAATTCACAAAACAGCTAGAAACCAGAAAAGCACAGGAATGTTTAGGTAACAGGAACCTGGAGATGATCTAATTCAAAGATACAAAACCCTAGCTGCACAGAACTGTGAGAGGAGCTTTAAGGAACCTACAGTGTCTATACACCTATCGGAACGGCCAAAATCCAGAGCAGTGACACCACCAAGTGCTGGTGGGGATGCAGGATGGCACAGCCACTTCGGGAGACAGTTTAGGGCTTTCTTATAAAACTAATCATACTCTTATCACATGACCCAGCAGTCATGCTCCTTGGTGTTCACCCAAAGGAGCCAAAAACTTATAACCACACAAAAAACCTGCACACGGATGTTTACAGCAGCTGTATTCACAATCGCCAAAACTTTGAAAGCAACTAAGATGTCCTTCAGTAGGTGAGTGGATAAAATAAACTGTGGTCCATCCAGACAATGGATATTATTCAGCTAAAAAGAAAGGAGCTATCAAGCCATGAAAAGACATGAAGGAACCTTAAATGCGTATCACTAAGTGAAAGAAGCCAATTTGAAAAGACTACAGACTGTATGGGTCCAAATAGAAAAGGTAAAACTGTGGAGGCAATAAAAAGATCAGTGGTTGCCAAGGTTTGGGGGGAGGGAAGGATGAACAGAGGATTTTTAGGGCAGTGAAACTACTCTCTATGATGCTATAATGATAGATATGTTTCCTTATCCATTTGTCCAAACCCACAGAATGGACAACAGCAAGAGTGAGCCCTGATGTGAACCATGGACTCTGGGTGATGGTGATGTTGACAGTGTAGGTTCACGACTGTAACACATGGACCACTTGGTGGGGATGGTGACAGTGGGGACAGAGGCTGTGCCTGAGTGGGGCTAGGGGTTTATGGGAAATCTCTGTACTTTTCACTCAGTTTTGCTGTGAACCTAAAACTGCTCTAAAAACAAAATAGTCTTTAAAAAAGACACAATATTCCAGTGTGCGGACGTCTCCCTCAGAGGTCCACTGATGGCCTTGGGGTGGAGGCCTGGCACCGCTATTTGTAAGAGCTCCCGGTTCCCCGCTGTGAACTCCAGGGCTAAGAGCCGCGACTTTAGCCCGGGCTTCCCACCTGACAGCTCAGGAAGCTAAGGCCGCAGGGTTCAGGGGTGTGTGTAATGGGTCCCCTTCCCCCCAAACCAGGGATGATCCTGTGATACTCTGGTCACTCTCCCCCTGGAGCTGGCTTCCGGCCTGCCCCGTGCACCTGGACCCCGTTCCCTTGCGATCCTGGTTCAGGGGTCTCAGGTGGGCCCGAGTCAGCATTTTTGAGCAGCCCCCAGGCTCCGGGGCCACTAACCCCAACCTCTGCACCTGTGGGGCTCTACCCGTGTGCCCTCCCATGAAGGCCCCCCTCTGGGGCACCTGCCCCGCTGCCAGCTCCCCACTGGGGAGCACACTCTATCAGAATCCACATCCCCATCTCAGCCCGATACACTCTCCATCCTACGTGAAGAGGCTGGGGGCTCCGTGAGGATCACACCTTCTTTAAAGGCCCAAGTGGCTTTACGGCCAATTACAGTCTTCCTGGGCCGTTCGCAGGGGAAACACGTGACCTTAAAGTCCTCTCCCTGCACGGTTATCAGCAATCCTGCACTGAGCCGGCACCGGCTTTGCACATCAGAAGTTCGTAGCGGCAACAAAGAAACGTGCTTCTGAAGGACCAAGTGAGAGTCAGGACGGTCATTCCGCACGTAAACCCTCAGCTGCCCGCAGAGCCGGGTACCTCGTACCACACCAGCGCACAGATAAGCTCAGACGCTGGAGAACCGTCGCCCGGAGCTTGCTGCCGACGTGAACACACCCAGACAGGCTCTATCCTTCTGACACACAAGCGCCACGGGCTCCTGCCCCTGAGTGAAATGTTTCACAAAACCTGAGAATTCTGGAATCCTCTCACCAGCACAGAGGATCCTGAGTCCCCACTTAGAGCCCACGGTACTCAGCCTCAGCCATGAAGGGGCAGGAAACGTGTCCAGGAGCCCCAGGCGCTGTGAACGCACCCCCGTGACTGTGTTCTATTATCCACGACCCTGCTGAGAATCCAGGGGCTCTGTGGGGGGGAGAGCAAGCCCCCGGGGGGACCCCCGATCACCCGACTGCTGGGAGGAGCCAGTTAAGGGGGGCGCGAAATCCACCCCCTGCAAGAATTCACTCAACTTCCTGCTGCCCCGGGAGTCCTCGCTGCCCCGAGCCGGCCCTGAGCCCAGGCAGCCTCCCCGAGGCCGCGCCCCGCAGACCTGCAGAGACGAAGGACTTGGTCCTGATGAAGGAGCGGCCCCGCTTCACCACAGCCTTCGTCTTCTCCAGGCCATCCTTGGTGCCCTCCTTGGCGGCCTTCACGAGCTTCTGCATCTGCGGGGAAGGGGGGCCGGGTGAGGGTGGGATGACTTGGTAAAACCTCCTTGTTGCTTTTACTCCATTTTTTTTTTTTTTTGTGGCGATACGCGGGCCTCTCACCGTTGTGGCCTCTCCCGTTGCGGAGCACAGGCTCCGGACGCACAGGCCCAGCGGCCATGGCTCACGGGCCCAGCCGCTCCACGGCATGCGGGATCCTCCCAGACCGGGGCACGAACCCGGGTCCCCTGCATCGGCAGGCAGACTCCCAACCACTGCGCCACCAGGGAAGCCCCACTTTTACTCCATTTTAAAAGAATACTGTCAAGTAGTTTGCTCTTGAAACATCATCTGAAATTGGCTTTTTGATCTGGGAGAGCTTTCTTGGCTGTTGTGAAAGTATGTGTGTATGTGTGTGTGTGTGTGTGTGTGTGGTTTGGGGCTGTTTGGTTTTTATTTTGCTGGTTAAAAAAAAAAGAAGGAAAAACAAATTTACAAACAGAGCCCTTCCTTAACAAAGTTTTTAAAAAGTCTCCTGCTGTGTTTAAGTCAGTCTTCGTTTTTATCACAAACACTTGCAAAGGGCTTTGCAGAAGCCGAGTGCGGAGAGCTGAGGCCACAGGTGGACAGTTTGCCCAAGGTCAACGGACAGACGGCAGGAAACAGTGGAGCCCCTGGCTGGAGACCCGACAGCCGGCTCAACCGCTGGACACTCCCCAGCCTCCCCCGGGCTCCCCCTGGAGGCCGGTCCAGCGGCTCATGGGCCCTTCGTACTGATGGTCACAGGAATGGCCAGACGGAGAGACCTGCTGGGATACAGACAGAGGGACGGCCCGCGGGAGGGGTCGGCAGACCCCCTCCTCCGCGGAGACTGAAGAGTTGGAAAGACCACCGGCCCCCGCAGGGGAGTTTGTCCATCCTGGTTCCCTCAAGCCAGGTTCCTGGCATAACACTTAGACTGGCCGTTAGTGCCAAAAGCTTCCAATGATGTGCTTTGGCATTTCACCCACATTTCTTATCCTTAGACTCTAACGTCTGAGATATTGGCCACTGGGTACCGAGCGACTGATCCTTTGGAGAAAACCCAGATGGCCTCTTATGACACAAGCCAACACTTTGGGTCTGTCTAGGTGCCGGCCTCCCCGCCCTCCTGCGATCCTCCCCTGGGAGAGAGGCTTCAACACCCGCCCGCTCCCCTCCAGGGCTTCGCCTGGCCTCCCTCCTGCGGCCCTTTCTACAGGGCCACTGCCCGGTTGCGCGTTTGCACAGAGCGGCGCCGGCTGAGGAGCTCTCGGGGGCTGAGTGTGCACCCTGGACTCGGGAGCTGTGCCCCTGGGGAGTTCCCACTCGAGGAACCTGCAGCCTGGTGCCGGACACTCGTAACTCCAGCCCGAGCGACTCTGCAATTCCTCGCTGTTCCCGCGCCTTAGGCTGCGTCCCTGAAGATGTGCCCCTGGCCCACCACCCACCTTGACGGACACCAGATCCAAGTCACACTGCCTGGCTGACCCCGACTCGGACGCCCAGCCACCCACCACCGCCCTACCCGCCAGGTTAAACACGGCAAAGCCACTCTGCCTGCTCCGACTCCTGTATCCCTTCATCCAAACGCGGCTTCGTCCGCTGACAACCCTGGACAGCAGCCCGCTGTCCCTGCTTCTCCGTAGCCACCGCTGGCACCTTGCGCTGCCTGTGCGCCCCTGCCCGCCCAGCTGCTGGGCGCCCCTCCTTAGCTCCCTACCCCCACCCCCCGTCGTCCAGATCCCGCCGCCCAGACCCAGGCTGCACATACTGTCCATGCTCCCTCCAAGGAGTCAGAGAATTAGGGACAGACGGATGGCCAGGGAGCCTGCAGGGGGCCGAGCCCCGGCTCCAGGTGAAGCCACACAGGTGCCGGGTTCCGGGCGGAGGGAACGGCCGCCCAGGGTTGCACAGTTGCAGCAACACGCCAGGCCCTGCTTCTCCTGCAGAGGACGGCAGCGCGTAGCCGGCCCCAGACGAGTCACCCTACCTGCTCCTTGCTGCTCTGCCGCCGTCTGATCATGCACATTCCCCTCTCTGCTGAGCTGGCCTGCCTTGTACCCCTCCCTGGACCACCCGGCCCTGTGCTCCCTGGAACCCACCCCTGCCCCGGGCCTCCAGATTATCCCAGGGGCTCCGCCTGTTTCCTGCATGGAACCAGCCCGACGCTGTGCTGGAGGAGATGCCATGATTCCGGGGGCTTCGCTCCTGCACCGAAAAGCGTGGAACAGAGCCGTGACATTCCAGAGACGTTTCTGAGTGAACACCTGCCTCAGGTAAGTGCCTTTCAACACGTGTGAACAAATCACAAACGTCAGAAGGACGAAGATCCCACTGAAGGAAAGGTTACTTGACAGTGCCCTTTTAAAACCTCTCAAACAGTGGACACCACGACATTCACACCCAGCAGTTCTCAACTTTGTGGTCTCAGGAGCCCTTCACACTCAGAAAAGTCATCGAGCAGCCCAAACGGCTCTGGTTTACCTGCTTTGTCTATGTTATACTACGTAAGGAGTTAAAATTGAGAAAAATGGTGAATACTTTTATTACTATTCATTTAAAAAATATTAAACCTATGACATTTTGTCTCAGGTAACGTTTTATTAAAAATTACTACATTTTCCAAAACAACAAAAAAAGTGCATTGTTTTGCACTTGGGGGACCTGCCTCGCGTCTGGCGTGGAGACGGCGGATCCCATGTCCCAGCAGGTGTGGGTCATGCCCTGGGGCCTCCGTCCACACGTGGGGGGACGGGGGGGACAGAGGCGAAGGATGCCCCGGAATTGACAGGAACTCGCCACTGTCCGGGTGGGCCTGGGGTTCCCTGGACCGCACCGTGAGAACCACCACCCCGGCAGAACTGGCCAGCTCTGGGGCTGAGTTTTCTCGTTAAAGGACAGTTTGTTTTTTGCAGAAGCGTTTTCAGCGTGAACCACACTACCTTCAGTTCATGTTTGTGCTTTAGCTGCTGAATCTCTACCGCGCCCACCGCGTTTGCCACCAAATGTCTCATCTTTTTCTCATAGTGCTCCTTTAAGCGGGTTAGGTCATGGGAAAGCTACAGTACAAAGAGATACAAGCTTTTCACAACACGCTCTTTCCGGTGCTTTGAGACAATCTTACACTGAAAGGGCTTGAGCAGCGGTGGGTGATGTTCACGCACCAAGGTGCCCCGGGCCCCCCCTCCTAGCCCACCGGCTCTCGAGAAATAAACACATGAGTGAGGAAAACACATCATCAGAAGACAGACTCCAGGTGAGCCAGACTGGAGACTCTTCTATGCTAAACAAGAGAAAGTAAATGCACAGAAAAATGTGGGCACCGTCACACCTTTACGTTTTGGTGAAATTAAAATGATAAAAAATGTAGAAATATATATAACATTATTCCGTTGTGTCCGCACCAAAGCAAAAGGAGCTTGAATTCAAAACTGTTTTGATGGGGGAAATGATTTGGGGATGACCACATAGATGTTTAAGTCTCCAAACTGACATAACTTTCTCTGCAGCCCACGGGGATGGGGTGAAATCTTGTAATTCAGTCCTCACGTGATCACAAACATCTCCAAGATGCAAACCGAGGCCCCTGCTCCTTAGTGAGTGTTTCCCATGTCAACCCAGAGAAGGACACCTCAGCAATCTTTTTATAAAATCTGAGACTATGAGGGGAGTCTTAAATGACTTACAGTGTCATTTTGGTAGCTTCTGAGATACGACTTTTTAAACTAGGAAACTTGGTACTCCTTAGAGCTGCCCTCGGGACACTGCCCCACAGGACGGACGCGTGCTGGACCTGGTGAGGACTCTGCACTCACGGCCGCCGGGGGCTGGCCCTCCACCGTCTCTGCTGCTGGGCCACCCGGCCTCCTCTATCGGCATTGCTGGTGGTGCATCTGGGAACACGGGTCCAGCTGGGTGGCCAAGAGGGCGGAGTGTCCACTCAGTAATCATGCCCACGGCTCGGGGGCCATCGCCTGACCAGCCCAGTTTGCACGTCATCCGCCAGGCCCGCTGAAGACGAAATTCACGAGTGTTTTAACCGCTCTCCAAGGCCCCACTGGGTGCCCCAACCTGCTGAAATCAGGCCCCAGTGCCGTATTTAAAATCTCCATTTAAACCTGGAATGTTGGACTCGGCTGTAACAAGCCAAGGGTCACCTTAGTTACCAGCTCCGTTTAAAATTACAGCTGTAGCTTCATTCGCTGGTTAAGTCTCAGCTGTAATAACTCTGGTGACAGAGACAGCTAAGTTCTGGGGAAAGCTTGTTAATAATATTGAGTAGCTGGGTTGACCACCACCAACTGGCAGTCTTCTTGAGTTTCAGGACAAGATCACAGACTATGCGAACACCATGTGCCCGTAGTAATCTGTAAGCCGCACCGACGTGGAGGCCACGTCCAGGAGGGGCCCATCGGCCTGGTTACGGGGGTGCAGGCAGGGGGAGGCGTAACTGATCGATCCTGCCCTGACTTATCGATTCTGCTGTGATGACGAGGCACTAGCCACAGCCTCCACCAGCGTGCAGCCTGCATCTAGACCTCACACAGAAAGGACATGGAGTGCACTGACGTGACCGTGGACGGCAGTGTGAATCACCCTTTTACCAACAGCCAAAACACCCAACGACGAGAGTATTCGGGGTGGCCAGTCACCCCTGGACACCGGACACCTCAGTGGGGTGATTTCCCTCAGCAGAGCCTCTCTCAGGTCCCCACCCTACAACCTCCAGCCCTGGAATCCACTCCTGCAACCTGGAGCTTCTCCCTGGACCCTCATCTCGGGAGCTTCACACATACACACTCCCTCCCTTTAAGGGTGCTCTTGGGCAGCTCAGGCACTTTCGTCCTACAACATCCTTTTGTAACATGTTCTATTTTTATACCTTCCTGTTTGTGTTGAGAACACTGAGGTTCAAAACATCCCGTAAAGGACAGCAGGGCTGTGCTGTGTCCCACCCGGCCAGGCTCCACCTATATGCAGCGGGCTGGGCACAGACAGTATTATGTGTACACAACACAAATATCCAGGGAATGCTTATTTACGTAAGTTATTCAAGATAGCGGAACTCAATTAGGGCCTTTGGAGGGATTTAGTTTATATAAATTTAATTTTCACATCCTGCCGAGATTCTATTATGTGAAATAAGGGGCGTCTTCTCTTTTGCCAACATCTAGTGCTTTTCTCAAAGTACATATCAACAGCTTAAAAAACGACAGTTTAAAATAGTACGTGAATGAAAATGACATCTTATAGTCCCGTCCACGTGTCCACGTGAGAAGGTTTTATCTCTCAGGCACACAGACTGGACACGTACTTGCTTTTTGTGGTCACTGCGCAGGAAGGACTGGGGGACCCCGTTTCTGCTCTCCGAGTCGCTCTGTTCCTCGTAGCTCTCAAATTCGCTCGAACTCCACCCGTACTCCAGAGAGCTGTTTCCACCTTCATCTCCATTCTCAACATCATCATAAATCATTTCATCTGAATGCATAAATGCCAAAAGGAAATTTAAAACGTAGACCCTCACTGGCTATTGTTCTGTCTGTGCATGTTCGTCATCTGACCACATCGTTGGGAGCTGGCACCTCGGAAAAGCTTGGAGGAACGGAACCTCAGGTGTGGCCCACCCCCCTCGGAAAGGCGCTGGACTGATGGGCGTGGGGTGACAAAGCTCTGATAAACCCCCAGCCCCATCCACGTCCTGAGGACCACTGGTCTATGAGAAGCCACCACAATTACACCAAATGATGTCTTGCCCATAGAGAACTTCTGACAAAGGAAAATTTTTCTTTAGATAAATGTATGGAACAGAAACAGATTAGACATACAGACAGACTAACAGATCACAAACAGATGGATGATAGAGATATTCAAATATGAATGCAAGTGAAGCTTACTGCAAACAACTATAATTTTTGCTTTTGTGCTAAAACTAGCCCATAGTACCTATAACCTGTTACTGTATTTAAATATCTTCATCACATCAGTCATCTTAGAATTAGTGAAGAGCACATCTGTTTACGCCGCCAGATACAATGCCAAAGGCACTGCCTGCAGAGGGGACACACTGGTCTAACAGAACAGCTGTCACCTTCGGCAGGGGCACCGCCAGCCCACCTTTTGTTGCCGTTTGGTTTTTGAGACCCCAGATCAGCCCATCTGAGCTAGGAAAGGTCTACCAGGGAGGATCAATTACTCAAAAATGCATTTCAAACTTGGTTTTACAGCAACCTGCCTTTAGTCTCCACGTTGTTTGCAGCAGGTACTTAAATAACTACCCCAGAGCACACTTATTCTAAGGACCTGGCAGGTTTATGTAGGAAGAGGGCCGAAGGTAAGCACAGGTCTCCTGTCATGTAGGAATCTCGGGAGGAGGCCCCCGTTAGCTGAGGCCCTAACAGTGCTGGGGACCTGACAGCGTCCAAAGCATTTGTGGGATGAATAAATGAATCCACGCTTTTAATTAGGAAGTTTGCTGTCTGTTTTAAGAATATGTCCTCTATTAGGCTGGAAAATTTCCCTCCTATCAGGAGTTTTTGACACTGGAAGGCATGGTACCAAGTACCTTCTAAGCATGTATCAGGATGAGCGTATGGTTTGTGTCATTCGCCTGGTTCTGTGGGAAATGACATCTAAAGAACCAGCCAATGTTGAAAGATACCTGAACTCTGGAGACAAACCTCCAGGGTTGGGATGGGCTTTGGCTTGTTTGCTGAGATGCTGCCAGACGTGGTTTCCTGACATTTCATTTGGGGTGTTCTGCATCACGCCTTTCGGGCTCCAAGTTTGTGCTAACATCCTCAGGGGGATCAGAGGGGGTCAGTTCACTTGCTCACTCCTCTTTCCTGCCTTCTATGGGGTTCAGTACCCCTTTCCTTGAACTATTCCTCTGGGGTCTACAAGCGGTCAAGCTCTCCAATCTACGTCTGAGGTTGCCTGTTTCTCTCTTGTTAAAGGACAGGACTTTGGTTGGATGTGAAGATGTGCGCTGGAACACCGAGCTTTCTTCAGCACTTTGGGAACACTACCCTGCTGTGTCCCAGCCTGTTGAGAAGTTGCTGTTTTTCCCAAATTGCAGTTCCTCCCGGGTAACCGCACCCTCGCTCCTGTTGCTGTTAAGATATTCACAGTGGGCTGTGCTCGGCAGTTGGAATTGTACAGGCCTTGTGGCGGGTTCATGCTCAACCTGCTTTGAATTCGTATTTCTACAATCCGGGAACTTACATCTGTAATTCTGGAAAATTCTTAGTAATTCCTTCCTCCATGACTTCCTGTATATCATTTATTAGAGACATGCTGGCACTTCAAGCCTCCATGTTTCTTCCCTTTCCACTCATATTTTTCACATCTTTAACTCCTCCTGCTTCTTTTTAGGGTAACTGAGAAAATTACCCTACCTTGAGGGCTGGGATATAAACGTGCACACACAAAATTGTACCGCACAACATCGGTGAGACACCGAAACCTTACAAAACGTGATTACAGACACACAGAGCTGTGCACCTAAGGTTTCTGCCTGCCCACCTAAATCCAGAGGGAAAGACGGTAAACTGCATCTCATAAAACTCCACCCCAGACAAAAATCAAACCTGGCTCAGAGTCTGAATTTTCTCTTGGCACGTCATCATAAATGGCTTCTTCCGGATCTGGAAGAAAAGGAAGGGAAACTTTAAAAACCGACCCCGACTCAGGGAGAACATCCTGCACTTCACGGAGCTACAGCCTCCTGTGATGCTACAGCTACTCAAGAAGTTAGTGTTATGATAAGGATGCCTCATGGGGCCTTATCAAAGCATGAGCACTGTTTTTAGGGCAGAACATTTCCTTGGGATGGAAGGACATCTCTAAACGAAGCTGTTGTGAAATGTATCCGACAGGAGTTTTATGGTCTCCAAGCCAATTTATTCCATTATTTTGCATTCAATTACACGTCTCTACACGGCTCTTTATAAACATTTTTAACTTTATGCAGTTTATGTGTTCTGATACACAAAAATTACAAAGGTGGCGTGCAGTCTCAGAAACAAAGGGACAGCTTCACTGCTGCTGTCGGGTAGGAAGCTTTAAAATCAACCAATGATTGGTTCATCAACCAATGAACCAATGGCTTCATCTCATTTTTCACCCCTGCAGATGAAACGTGGCCACACGCGTGTATAAAAATGCTGAGCTTTGAGGACAGAACCTCTCAAACTGCATTACGTGAAACGTTAGCATCCTAGGAAACTGTAAGGTGTCTTCTTTAAAAAAAAAAAAAAAAAAAAAAAAGGAGGGATCCTCCACGGGCAGATACTCCGTGTGCATGTCAGTGGTCCTACAGGAGAGCAATGGGGTTTGAAGTTCATGCACATATTCATAAGAGCTCCATGCTCTACAGGGAAGCCAACGAAACTATAGGGTCCTCCATCCTGGAACCCACGAAGGTGAATGGTTACTAACCAATGCAAGCCAAAATGACATAAATACAGCCTCGCCCTCCTCTGACATGCGGCCACCATCCCCTCCCCACATTCCCAGGACCCAGCTTCTTCTCGTGCTGCGCTCAAGCTCCCACGTCAGAGAGGCTTGCTGTCCCGGAATAATGTTTCTCGACTGTGAGCACGATATTTGCACCCCCGTTAGACAGTGTGGGGGGCTGCTGATGTACAGACCTTACTTTCAAATACAGCTGTTCTACTAATAAAAACGAGTCATGGGGCTTCCTTGGTGGCGCAGTGGTTGAGAGTCTGCCTGCCGATGCAGGGGACACGGGTTCGTGCCCCGGTCCGGGAAGATCCCACATGCCGCGGAGCGGCTGGGCCTGTGAGCCATGGCCGCTGAGCCTGTGCGTCCGGAGCCTGTGCTCCGCAACGGGAGAGGCCACAACAGTGAGAGGCCCGCGTACCGCAAAATAAAACAAAACAAACAAACAAAAAAAAAACGAGTCATGGGAGAACGTCAGATTTTACTTGGGAAATAAAATTGCTTGAGGATAGTGAGGTGAGAACTTAATCCTGTAATGATCCAGAGGTAATAGCCCCCTAGTAGAGGCATCTACTTATGCTGAGTTGTTTGTTTTGACAATGTCATAATTAAAACCAGAATGAAACATTCCAGGGGAGAATTTAATAATTAGGAGATTAAGATGGTTCTACCTTGTAAGTCAATCATATAATTACACAGAAATTAGTGAGCCAGTGGATAGTAAAAGAGATAATTAGAAAAGCCTCACTTAAAAAAAAAAAAAAATTAGCTCTGCTTTCTATACCACACATGGAACAGAAGGTCTGCTGTACCATCTGGTCAGTGGCCTGGCTTAAGCATTCACTACTCTCTTCAAAATGGCACCATGAGAAATCATCTCATTGGGGATCACAAGAAAGAATGCCTTGTTAATGCCTCAGTCCCCAAATCTCTAACTTTTATGACAAAAACCAAGACCTGTACTAGAAAGAATCAATCAGGAAGAGGGAGATGCTGGGATGCAGACAGCGGAGATGATGTGATGGGAGACAAAGTGACAGCTTCACGGGGCCCTGGGGAAGCATCTACACAGTCAGCTCTGGTCAGTACTTCAGGTGAATGGATGCAGGACAGGAGAATAATTGGCTGAGGCTGACAACTACACACTGTCCCCGGGGGGCTCAGGGGTGGCCCTCCAGGCTCCCGGCGGCCATGGTACTCACTTTCCATCCAGGCTGTATTGGCCGGATCTGCAACCCACCGGGTGAGGGCACTGTCCTCCTTATGGACTGGACCTTCACTTAAAGAAAACACACCAGAACATCAGGATGTTGAGAATCCCTCCAGTGATTAAAAAGTCACTGTGCGTGCAAATTGGGCACTTTCCCAGGTAGCATTATGGGATACGCCAGGTTCAAGATTTCCTCCAAAACCATGTATAAATAAGTGCTTTTGAACGCCTACCACACACACACCACATGTCTAGCACAGCATCCAGTGCAACAGGACATGAAGAAATGCAGTCCCTGTCCCAAGAGGCCTGACTCGTCCTCCTGTTTCTCAGATCTTGCAGAGGGTCCACTATGTGCCCCAAACGATGCTGGGTTGTACGGACACACCCAAGTGAGACTTGGGCCTCTCAGCTCCAGCAACAGGGCAGACTTCAGTACAGCACTTTCAATATTGGATAGAAAAACCAGGCAGGAGATCAATAAGGAAACAGAGGATGTAAACAGCACTACCGACCAACTGGACCCACCAGACCTCTACAGAACACCCCCCCACCAGGCTTAAGAGCTACAATTATAAAACTCTCAGAAGTAAAGGATGAAAAAGCTTCAGGGCATTGGTTTTGCCAATGATTTATTGGACAGGACACCAAAAACACAGGCAATAATATGAAAAAATAGATAAACTGGGCTTCAACAAAATTAAAAACTTTTGTGCCTCAAAGGACACTACCAAGAGAATGAAAAGACAACCCACAGAAAGGCAGAAAATTTATGAATCACTTATCTGATAGGGGTTTAATATTGAGACTATATAAAAAAATACCTACAACTGGGGCTTCCCTGGTGGTGCAGTGGTTGAGAGTCCGCCTGCTGATGCAGGGGACGTGGGTTCGTGCCCCGGTCCGGGAAGATCCCACGTGCCGCGGAGCGGCTGGGCCCGTGAGCCATGGCCGCTGGGCCTGCGCGTCCGGAGCCTGTGCTCCGCAACGGGAGAGGCCACAACAGTGAGAGGCCCGTGTACCGCAAAAAAACAAAACCAAAAAAAAACCTACAACCCAACAACAACAAACCCAATTCAAAAATGGGCAAAAGGACCTGAATAACATTTCTCCAAAGAAGACATGCAAATGGCCAATAAGCACGTGAAAAGATGCTCAACATCATTAGTCATCAAGGAAACACAAATCAAAACCACCAAGAGATACCACTTCACACTCACCAGGATGGCGATGATTTTAAAAAGCAGGAAATACATGTAGTAAGCTTAGAAAAATTGGAGCCCTCACACACAGCTGATGGGAATGTAAAATGGTGCAGCTGTGATGGAAAAAAGTTTGGCTGTTCCGCAGAAAGTTAAACATAGGATTACTGTGTGATCCAGCAATTCCACTCCTAGGTATGTACCCAAAGGAATTGAGAGCAGGGACCTGAACAGATACCTGTACGCCAACGTTCACAGCAGCGTTATTTACGGTAGCCAAAAGGTGGAAATGACCAAGTGTCCATCAGTAGATGGGTAGATAAACAAAATGTGGTATATACACACAATGGAATATTACTGAGCCTTAAACAGGAAGAAAATTCCAACATACACTGCAATACGGATGAACCTGGAAAACATGATGCCGAGTGAAATGAACCAGACACAAAAGGACAAATACTGTACAATTCAAGTTATATGAGTTACCTAGAGTAGGCAAATTCATAGAGACGGAATGCAGAATAAAGGTTACAGGAGCTGGGAAGAGGGGGGATTGTGGGTAGGGTTTCTGTTCGAGATGATGAAAAAGTTTCAAAGTAGATAGTGGTGATGGTTGCACAACAATGTAAATGTATTTAATGCCACCAGATTTTAAACTTTAAAATGGTTAAAATGGCAAATTTTATGGTATATATTTTTGCCACAATTTTAAAATGAATAATGCAATATACCAAAAACCACAGAATGGTCCACTTTAAATAAGTGAAATGTACTATGGTATGGGAATTATAACTCGATAGAGCCGTTTAAAAACAAAAAAATAAACACACCTACCATGCACCAAGCATGTTCCCATGCTAGGTGGTAGGTGCTCTAAGGCTTGGTAAAACCTGGTCTTTGTCTTTGAAGAATTCAATCTAGTGGCAGAAAGGGACAAAGAAATAACAGTGAGAGCACAAAGCCATCAATTAGAATGCAGGTGTGTGCACACCGCTCTGGAAGCACAGAGGACAGTTTCATGAAACGAGACATTTAAGCTGGGTTTCGAAGGGTGAGTAAGAGTTTGCCTAGGGGAGGGGATTTTCCTGGGAATTTCGAGCAGATGCAACAGCATTTGTGAAGGCAAGTGGCATGAAAGAAAGGCTTATAATCAAGTCAGTTTCAAGAATTTTAGATGAAAGCTGGGTTAGACAAAGTTAAAGATCCTTTCTCCCCCTCGGGATTCTGAGAACCTTTACAAGGTTAAGTACTCTGAACGTCTCTGGCAGGGAGACGGGAGTGGCGCGTCATCCAGCTCTCTGTGGCTGTGGACCCGCAGTTTTCTCTTTTTCTGCAAAGCATAATGTTAACGTCTTAAAGAGTCCTGGTGTTCAGGAAGACCCGATCTGGGGTCCCTGGGCAAGAGGGCAGAGGGTACGGAGGACAGAAAGACCACAGGGTGGGGGAGGGGCCTGGGCAGCGAGAGCCTTGGAATCACTGCGCACGACATTTCAGGAAAAGGTCAGGGACTCAGAACATCCGTGGAAAATTAGTAAAGATACCTGTTTATTGGATCCTCAGAACTCAAGGAATTCAACTGGCTGTCTTCTGCTCCTTCCTGTGCCTCTGCCAGGAAAGAGAAAAAGTTCACATTGTTTTACGCCTGAAAGAAATGTTGAGAAAGTTGCTTTTTACCCTCAAAATGGTTTCATATTTTCCTTTCTTATCAATGAGAGGTTTACCTTATTGTGAAGATGATCAACTGACAGATTTAAGATTTTCAGTTTTTCAATCAAACGTATTCAAAATAGGATTATGAGGAAGAATGACACCCAAAGGTCTTATGAAACTACCTGAAATAAAACAGTGCCCAAAGAAACCAAGCTAGAGAAACACCATAATTATCTCCTGTTTCTTAAGTTTTCATGGGGATTTGCAATTGTGATTTACTTGAAAATGTGTCTAGATGACAAGCTCAAAAGATTCTCAAGGAAGCAGCACTGAAGCTGCTGACATCTGACAACCAAACTCCCTGTTTTCCTCAACTGTCTTAACTGGGAAGGAAAGAACCCTCTTACTGAAATTTCACACAAATATGTCCTGATCATGCTTCTGTGACGCCAATGTCCTCGGGGCTACTCCTGCCCATCAGGATGTCCACACCTGGGACAGTCCTCACGGTGCGTCCCAGCACAGAACATGGAAGCAGAGCAGGTGAGAGATGGGAAAACTCAGCCAAGATGCCTTTACTGGGCTCATTCTGAACAGAACCGACTGCACTTCTCCAGAGGAGGGATGGTTTGTGTCTTCAGCTGCCCTCCTGACCTGGACGTGCGGGGGGGTGGGAGGCGAGGAGAGAGTGGAAACCGCCCACGGGCTTTGGCCGGGACAACGGTGATCTGCACACTTGGGCCCCAGCTGCTCCCACAAAGCACCGCAGTCTGCGCAGCTTATGGACAACAGCCTGGAGGCTGGACGTGCAAGGTCAAGGCGCTGGCAGGTGCGGTGTCTGCTGAGTTCCCTCAGCATAGGTCCCTCTATGAGGTTCATAGACCGTCTTCTCTCTGTGTCCTCACTTGGAGGAAGGGCTGGGGGCTCTCTGGGGTCCTTTATCAGGGCCCTGAACCTATGCGTGGGGGTCCATCGTCATGACCTCATCACTCCTGACACTGTCACCTTGGGGGTTAGGTTTCAACATGTGACTTTCGGGGAGACACACACTCTCCCTTTAAACCTAAAAACTGAAGCCCTGCAGAAACAGCTGATGCTGAAGCAATGCAGCCAAGGGGCACCTGCGAAGACGACGGAGGCGGCTGCTTAAACCACGTCCTCGGAGCTACATGCCTGCTTCTTCCCGCTAAGTGGAGGTGAAAGCCGTGACTCACTGAACCAAAACCCCAGTCACGGAGCTGGGCCCCCTCAGCACCCCGGCCCCCGACAGCCAATATCACAGGCGTGGGGACAGGCTCCCTGCATCGGCCCAGCTTCCTGAGGAACCTCCTGATTCTCCCGACTCCTGCCCCTCTCCCGGGTCCTCAGTGTGCCTGCTACGCACGCACACACACGCACACACACGCCCCAGGTGTGCAGCCTGCCCTGAGAGACGGAAAGCACCTTCTGCCCTCCCCCCCAAACCCCCGCCCCACGAGGTGAGGCACAGGTGTGGCAGCGCTACCTGCGGGGCCCGCGGGGGTGAGGGCAGGGCTGGAGTAGGCAGGCAGCAGCAGGGGCAGGCCGGAGGGCACGGCGTAGCCACAGGGCACAGGCACCGAGTACCCGCTGGGCACGTGCAGGCCCCCGCCCTCCCCCTCAGCCTCCGGGTCCGGAGGCGGCGGCTGGTCCTCATGGAGGGGTGTGATGTCGATGACGGAGTAGGGGTTGACTCTCGTCGGGACCCCGGGTCTCAGTGGTTCCGCCAGGGCGTCTGTGTCCGCTCCCGTGCCATTTTCGTGTCCTGAGGGTGAGAGGAGACCGTGGCAGACACCCGGCCGTCAAGGGCACGGCCGACACACCCCAGGCCTGGAAGCACTGTCCTTTGGGGCATCGGTGGGGTCAGCGTGACCTTGGAGGCAGGGCACGCATCCTGGCTGAGCCCAGGGAGGCTCCTCCAATGAGATGAATGGGTGACAAGCTGCCAGAAGTGGGGGGTCACTAACCACGTGGAGAGGTGGTGACGGCCCCAACCAGACCATCGGTGAGTGAATAAAAGTCACCAACTCCACCCCCAAATTTTAAAATATAAATTAAACTTCTACATTTCATCTCAAATGGCATTATTTTGAAAAAATGTTTTATGCAACACAGTGACAAACTGGCGAGGCCATTTTTATTAGAAAATAACAATACCTGTTTCCTCCAAAATATAAATAGAAAGGTAGGTAGACAAGACTGAAAATCACGGAAAATAGAAAACAAATATGAGAATCTCGGCCAAACTTGAGTTAAGTCATTTCAGTTCCTATCATATCACAGAAACATCATACATCGCGGGCTCCCAGACCCCACCTTCCCCAGGACGTTCCAACCGCAGGTGGGGCGGCTGGTGGCTGGGCGGCCCGAGGACGCACCTGATCCGGCCGCAGTGCTGGTGGCGGGGATGGTGGTGTTGGCAGCGGGGCTGTCTGCTCCCGTGTCCCCGGCCTCGGGGCTGCCCGGAGCCCGTCTGTCTGCTTCTGGAGCTTCATCTATGCCGTCGAGATCCAGCTGTTCCCCCTCGTCTTCCTCATTGTTGTTAGTGTCGTACTTGACTTCATTCTCTAAAGTTTAAGGTAACGTAAACCAGTGTTAGCGTTACCGGGAAAACGGCTTCCACGCTCCTAAACACATCGCAGCCAAAGTCAGCCAGCGATGAGCACCCAGATGGGCACCCGGAGGTGCTGGTGGCACCAGGACACGCCCTCCCCGCATCCCCCGCCGGGCTGGCCCACTGCCTTTCTTTTTTTTTTGCGGTACGCGGGCCTCTCACTGTTGTGGCCTCTCCCATTGCGGAGCACAGGCTCCGGACGCGCAGGCTCAGCGGCCATGGCTCATGGGCCCAGCCGCTCCGCGGCACGTGGGATCTTCCCGGACCGGGGCACGAACCCGCGTCCCCTGCATCGGCAGGCGGACTCTCAACCACTGCGCCACCAGGGAAGCCCTGGCCCACTGCCTTTCTACTGGGAAGAGTTCATGCCATCAGGCTTTGGGGCAGCGATCTGGCTTTCCTCTCAAAAGGACCCACAACTCACAGTCTGGAAAGAAAAAAGCAGGAGACAGAAAGGAAGAGAAAAAGCACTTCCCACACTTTACACCTGGACTGAGAACCCCATTAGTAAAAATCAACTTGGAATAACATTAAATAAACCACCAGGCGAGGAGCAACGTGTAATTCAGCAGTTCCTACGCCATCAGTATAATGATTTCATCCCTTCTGTTCATCCCGGCAGGCTGCGTACCGTCCTCACGGTTAAAATCCACAGCTGTGAGCTACCTGTGTCACCTTGGTCATGAGAATTCTTTCCAACACTGCTTTCTTTGGGGGAAAGTGAGAGGGGATGCAAGGATTTGCTGATATAAGCGTTTTTACATGACAAACAATAAGATCCCTCATGCAGACTTTAAAAAAAAAAAAAAAGTCAGTTGAATGTAAAGGATCAGAACATTGTTCCTGCCATAATCTCAAATCACTAGGGGGTGACTTTCTTTAAAAATCTTTTTCAGGAAAAAAAATGCATATGTTGGAATTAAAATGTGAAATGGCATTAAAATCCTCTGTGTCTACCTGAGTTTTCTGCACATTACGTATATAAATACTAAATAAATTACACTTACAAATATTTTGTTCTAAAAAGAAATGGGTGAAGGTGGTCACGGGAGAGCCCGTGTCTCAGGTCCCATGGCTCATGTTTCGTTCTGTCCCCTCCCAGATATTTCAGAGCCTATTTAGTGAGAAATATTGTAAAGCTTTTTTCTAACAATTTTCATAAATTCACTTGTAGGTATATTTTATCTAATTCTCAAAGTCTGGCAGTTGTACGATATAATCTCAAACAAGAGGTTTGACAAGAGAAAACCCCAGCCTGTGGTTCAGAGTCCGTGCTCTCAATAATCTCAACACTGCCCGGCTTGATTTGTTGTTACTAAGTCAAAACATAAGCTATTTTTTCCCCATCACTTTTGTCAGGGTATTTAATTGGTATTATTTCCCTGTCACATGTGTTTGGCAAACGTGAATTTAAGGAAATGATGACAACTGTATTTAGAAAACGTTCTGGAAAATTTTATTTTTCTGTTGAAGAGATTTTTTGCTCTAATATGTGTTCGCCGGTTTATTTCAGTGAATAAACTGAGTACCTAATGATTTAGCAAAAAAAGAAGGAAAGAAAAAGGCGGGCAGCTGCAGGGAAAGCGGCGGGGAGGGGAAATCCGTCAGTCCCAGCCCAGCCCGGTAGCCCGCAACTCCTGGCAGAAGTTAGGACCAAAGGCCACGGTCCACACAACTGACCAGGAATCAGGATGGGTTGGCTGGGGTCCCTGGCACTCCCAGTGGGAGAGCGCTGGCCGCAGGGGTCATCCCTCCTCTGTGAGCAGACAACCCTCCAGGACAGCTGTAAACCCATTAACACCTTTTAAAGATGTGCCACAAATTAACACATTAAGGGAAAAAAAATAAGAGTATTTGGAAATTCAGAGATCGGAGCTAGGCATATTGTTCCTGGGGCTTGTAAGACCATAGCTGATTATAATATGCAAGCTTAACCGGAGATATGCTTCTCTTTATTTCAGATGAAGGCTATTTGTTTCTTAATTCCTCTTACTGTTATGAAGGAGAGCTTTAAGAAGCAACAGGCTGCAAACAGCCCCACCAACAAGGGGCTATTCACAGCCCGTCTTCTGCTGCCTCTAGGCTCTGCGTGTCACAGCTGGGACCAGGTCCCAGGGCAGCAGGGTGGCGGAACAATGCCGCCCCCTGTCACCCGCTGGCACGCCACCCGCTGTCCTTCACTTCTGCCCGAGCTCGTCACTGTCACTGGGCACCTGCTGAGGACTGTCCCGAAGCAGCAGGAACATGGTGACATTGCTGACTTCCTTTCCCCACCATGACTCACTTTTTTTTTGTTTTGCTATTAGTTATAGAAAAGCTTTAGCTGGTAGTGACTTGACCATCATCAAAGTGTTGAGTTCTGCATCCTGAGACATCCTGGACCATCTTGTAATACAGTGTTTACATCCCAGAGCATCTTCTAACTTGACTCTCTGAGAGCCTCCAGGGGCCCCGCCTCTAAGAGCTTTATGGATGTTACCTCCTGAGGGCGGGGCTGCTCCAGCTCTGTTATCCCAAAGGAGAAGGAAACCAAGGCCTGGTGAGATGCACACATGCCCCCGGTCATCCGCTCGCGCACCTCAGGGACCATGCTCAAACCCGAGCAGCCGTGTGCAAAGCCCTCGAAACCGCAGGCTTCTCCACCGCACCCCACCTCCTCCCAAATCCCGCTTTACCCGGACGATTTGACTTGTCGCCAAGGAAGCTTCTGGAAAAGGCACAGGTGCCTGATGACAGGTAACGATGGACATGGATAGAGTTACCTCACCTGAACACGTTATGACACCGTGCGCAGGACACTATGCAGCCACTGAGAATGACAGCTGTGAAAGCTATGTGGTGACACGGAAAATACTTGTAAAGTTTCAAGTATGACATAAAAATGTATACTCAATAATCTCAAAAATGTAAATTCAATGGCTGCAATTATGCAGAAAAGAAATATGAGGGAAAGGACAGCAAACAGATGAAAACACAAGTGTCCCAGTGGTGCTGGGGAGAACGGACCTCAGTGATTTCCAGCCCCTTTGTCATGTTCAAGGGAATTTTTTTTTTAAGATTTAATTTTATTTATTTTTGGCTGCGTTGGGTCTTTGTTGCTGCGCACGGACTTTCTCCAGTTGCAGCAAGTGGGGGCTACTCTTTGCTGCGGTGCTCGGGTTTCTCCATGCAGTGGCTTCTCTTGTTGCGGAGCACAGGCTCTAGGCATGTGGGCTTCAGTAGCTGCGGCACGCGGGCTCAGTAGTTGTGACTCACGGGCTCTAGAATGCAGGCTCAGTAGTTGTGGCGCACGGGCTTAGTTGTTCCATGGCATGTGGGATTCTCCTGGACCAGGGCTCGAACTCATGTCCCCTGCATTGGCAGGTGGATTCTTATCTACTGTGCCACTGGAGAAGTCCCTCAAGGGAATTTTTAAGAGGACAATTTCATTTTCACAATAGGGGAAATTATACCTAAAGCATCACTGAATCATCAAAAACGATGCCAGGCTGTTATCCCCATTGCTAATCGTCACAAATGTTAACTACCCAGAAAATCTTGTATCAGAGTATAATCATGTTTAAGGCATGGTACTAACATGTTTAAATCGTGGTCTTAGCCCTGGGCTGTCAACCAGGAAACAGCCATCAGCCCGGGGAGATGGAGCTGGTCCTCTCCCGGCATCCTCAACACCCCACGTCAGCAGGACCTCCCCAGGCTCCCCAGAGGAAACCTCCCAGGCGGCCCACGTAGAAGGTGGTCCACGTAGAAGGCCCCACCTTCTCCCAGATGCGAGTCACCTCCCAGTTAAGAGGGGCCCTGCCTGGGGACAGGGTTGGGGGAGTCACCCGTGAACAGCCTGGCAGGACCGGCTGCGCGCCAGGAGTGACAGGCCTTGCCGGTGAGACTCGCTCGCGACAGTGAAGACAGCAGGCAAGCAGGGCCCAGGAGCACCTGGTGCTGGAGCAGCAAGGGGTGGGGTGGCAAGCGGCCTACTGCAGGGAGAGGACGGAGGGCGCTCGTGGGAAAGGGCAGTGAACTCTGCTCGGCCCTTAGCGCCCCTCCAGCCCCCCGAGGGACCCTTCACTCTCTGCGCCCGTCCTCTTCCGTCTTTATTGAGGTATGAGTGACAAATAAAAACTGTGTATTTACGGCGCAGGACTGGATGATTTGATCCACCTGTGCTCTGGGAAATAATCACCGCAATGAGCCTCCACCCCACACAGGTACCGTCTTCTCTCTTCTCTGCTTTTCCCGCTGGCAGAACATGTAAGCTGCCCTCTCAGCAGACAGGCCTAAGCATCTCATCCCTGTGGCTGGACCTCGGACACGGCCTCCTGCCAGCTGAGTCCCCGCACAGGCCTGGCTGCCACTTCGTGGTGCCCGGGTGTCTGGCCGTGCGCCCTGGGCCGAGGCCTGTCCCAGGCTTGCAGGCCCGCCCACCAGGACGCACTGCTGCTGGGCCAGACCCTCTCCTCCCAGGACCAAGCGCAGAGGTGCCTCTGGGGGTGAAGGTGGACGGGTGTTTCTGCAGAACTCGGGGCGTGACCGGGAGGCCGAGTCCCTGGGGGGTGGACACCGGCGGACACCGGGCGTTTGTCGAGAGCAGGGCAGGCAGGCGTGGCCTCCTCTGCGGAAAGCAGACCTTGTGTCCTGGAAGGACAACGCACCTGCCACCAGGTTTGAACAGCGCGCACGTCACCCACAGTCCTAAAAACCAGGTGCAGGTGCTTCTGGGCCTGCCTTTTGTATTCTGATGCCTCCAGTAGCCGATGCCCCCTGAGCACCTCGGAGCCCGGCAGCTCCCTATCCTGCATGGGTGCCGAGGGTGCTGGTGCCCCACAGAAACAGCGAAACGGCACGGAAGACAGCGACGGCTGGCTTCAGTGAAAGGCCAGGAAGGGAGGGGCAGGAGGGCAGTCGGGGGGTAGGAGGGAGCCCACTGCCCGGGTCACGCTCGGGAGTGTGCGGTCAGCACCAGGAGACAGCCCAGCGCACAGGGGGCCGTGGGGACCCCAGGCCTGTCCCCGAGAGGCCACGCGGCATCGTCTGGGCATCACCTCCTTGACGGGGATGAAAAGTGGTGAGCGGTGTTGGTCTGTCTCGCTTTCAGTTCAAACAATCAAAGTCGGGTCTAGCCTGGAAGACCCCAAAGGCCAGCCACTCACACTCAGATCAAACTGCGGCCCAGAAACAGGCCCCAGAACCCCTGGCAGACCTGGAGGGAGCCGACAAGGAGGCTGCCTTAAGCTCCGCTGGCAGGTGCCCAGTGGCCGCAGGGTTCGGCCTAAATCTCGTCTCTGAAGTGGGCCGTCACCCCCCTTACCACCTCCAGGGGGTTCTGATGGGTCGCGTGAAAGTAAACACAGGAGACCCTAGACACTGGTGTGGGCACCACAGGGACGGGTGGAGGGGCTCGGCCAGGACCCCCAGGCCTCTGCCCCCTAGGGTCTGGGTAGACCCCCCTCCCCCACCAGGAGCTCCTAGCCCAGGCCCCACCCCAGAGGCCACGGGTTAGTGATGCCCAGAGCATGGAGCCTGGGAAACAGCCCCAATTCACCTGCCCCGCCACCGGCCTGCAACCTGTTACCTTCCCGGGTGGGAGCTGGCGGGCCCGGTTGGTCCATGCTGCCGCGTCCACCTCGCTCCTGGGCTCGGAGGATCCGGGACCTGCGAGGATGAAACACACTGTCAGGGCCGGGGGGAGGGTGGCCCCGGATGCCTCTGGGGACCCTGCCGACAGCCTGAGAGAAAGAAAACGCAGATTCCATCCATAGCCGCAGTGAAAGATCTAAGGACGCGAGGACCTCAAACTGCCTCGAGATAATGCTCAGGGCAAAGCCAAACGGAGACTGCCGGTGTCTTGACGTCACCTTGAATTGCAGCCAGGGGTAGATTTTTGCAGCTGGATTCAATGGCCGGACCCCTCCCGGCCCAGGACGCCTTGATTCTCTGCGTGATTTCACACATGTTCTAAGGGGAGAAATGGACACGAAAGTCCAATGGTTTTCTTCCTCCTTCAACTAAATCTTTAACAGTTCTGAGTGAAGGATTAGTTTCTGAGGACGAAGGAGGAGGCTGACCGTTTCCTCAAGCCCTTTCGAGCCAGCGGGTCGGTAAACCCTTGGGTCCGGGCCGGATGCCTGCGTCCTGCTTTGTTTTCTTTTTCTTTGCTGCCCTTCCTGTTTCCTCGCACGCTGGTCTAAGAATGAGCATGAACCACCAGGCCTTGAGAAGGCTGGGCCTGCACCCCTCAGCATCCTGTGAACCAAGGTCCCTGGTTATGGGTGTTGAGACCACCAACACCTGCCTGGATTCTTCCAGAACGGTCGCAGGAAAGCAAACCTCACTCGGGAAGCCGCACTTTGCAGAAGCACCTTCCCAGTTCTCAGGGTCCCAGATGAGGCCCAGGGAAGCCCCTCAGCGACACCCTAGCCCCACGGACGACACATGACATTCAGTGACGCCAACCGAGGCAGTTCACCCTCTCAGAGAGAAACTGCAGTGCGGTTTCCAAACCATTTACGACAGACACGTTCAGACCACAAGGGTCCGGGAACTCGAGTCCCGGAGAACCTGGAACAGTAAGCGGACGACCAAACCTTTCTCCACGGGGAGACATGCCGGCTCCTGAGAGCAAATGTAAAACGACTGCTTCCGTTTCAGTCAACAAACCCTCAACCAACACCTGCCACATCCTGGTCTGCGAAGTCACAACAAGGGGACACGCATGCACACGTGCACGGCCACGTGACCAAGGTGTGTGCACACAAACATGCTCACACATGTGCACACACATGCACAGAGGTGAGTGCACACACACATGCTCACACACGAACAGAGGTGAGTGCACACACGTGCTCACACATGCGCGCATGCGTGCGCGCGCGCGCACACACACACACACACACACACACACACACGGAGGCCCAGGGGGCTGCAAGGAAGGAACAGGAGGGAGGACAGGAGGATTCAGGGCCTCAGAAGCACACAGAAGCGGGGCGATGTCCGCTGCCATGTCCTCTCCCAAGAAGTAAATCAAAATACCCGAGTGCGTATTTAACGTCCCGTTGGATTCACATCGGCTTCATGTGGCACCAGGCCAGCAGTGACATGACACAGACACACGGACCGCGTCCACGGTGCTGAGCCTTAGGTGATGCCCAAGAAGGAAGCAGGTGGGGCCGCTGGGTGGCCTGGACCCGGTGCCAGGACCCCACAGGCACTGCTGGGCAGGACAGACATGGGTCCGCAGGAGGAAGACAGTGTGATCCCTGCCCTGGAGGAAGCGAGCAAGAAGGAACTGGTCGGGGCTCCCGGGGCGATGAGGGCTCCCACACTACTTTACATCCTCACCACTGACTGAGGACGGAGGCTCTGCCTCACTCCCCCAGCACGAACCAGCCAAATCCAGAGCAGTCCGAGGACCTGCCAGGTCGGTGAGAACAGGGCCCAAGTTGCCAGGGAGCTGGGCGTTAGAGCAGAGCACGCCCCATGCACCCCTCTGTGTGACCCCAGCACCGTCCCTCACAGACACTGCTGGCACGTTGCCCGGGCTCGTCCAGAACAAGTGGGACGCAGAGCCACACGGGACCTGATGGCCACGTGGCTTTCCGTGTCTTATAGATTCGGATTTCTTAATCACGTCATTTACTCACCTTAAACCAGGCTGGACAAATCTCATTAATGCTATTTGTTTCTACTGAAAATGCACAAAACAGAGTCAAATTGACTTCTCGTTTCCCACTGCTAACGTGTGGGACAAAACAAAGAAGGACTATGCCTGTGCTGTTTCTTACTCTGATGCCTGATCCTATTAAACAACCACCGCTCACCCTCAGAGCACTCCCTGGACGCCAAGATGGACCTCGCAGCCATCCTAATCGTCCTACCCGAGGGTGAGAAGCTGAGAGAGCACGGCTCTTGTCTCCAGAGGCAGAGCTGGGACTGGAATCCAGGCCCCTGGTGCCTCCGTCTGTGTGTGTGACTGCATATGAATTTCAGTCAGACCACGACACTCAGGGACTGTTTTCTTCCCAAATCAGCATCCATGGGAAACTGCCTTCCTGGAAGCTCACACACACACACACACACACACACATACACATACACACACACACACACACACACACACACACACAGGATCTGCCTCTGGATTTGGGGGGCCTGGGTGTCCGTGATCTGAATTCCACTCCACGCAGGCATCACCCAGCACTGAAGTTTCAGCCCCTGGACCTCCCAGCAGCCCTAGGAAGCCTGCTCCCCGAAACTGGGCACCTGCCGTCTCCCGGTTGCCCTCCAGGTGTTTTTAGGGACGGGATGAAGCCCGATTGGCCCACGGCCGACCTCGGGACGGAGGACAAGTCTCGCTTTCACAAGGCTCCTCCCCAGCAGACGAGCAGCAGGAAACAAGGCCAACCTGGGCTGCAGGGCCGTGGGGATTATCACCACCATTTTCCAATTTAAGCATCCTAACGAGAGATTTCATTGTGCACTGAGGTTGTGGTTTCCAACAAAAAGATGACACACGCGGTACAAGCAGCAGCCTGGAGAGACGGGCACAGAGGTGGTCCCTGCAGTGCGGCTGTGACTCTGCCTCAGAGGCTGGGCGGCGACGGAAGTGCCCCAGTCACTTGATTTTTTAAAATTTCATGGAAATAGCCTGAGCCTTTGCTCCAGTGAGGTTTCCAGCATCTTGGCCATCTCTGCAGACCTGCAGGGAGAGCACCGTGGACGCGTGGACGCTCTGAGGGACGGGACCCGCCGCCCCTCCCAGCAGGTATTCCCTGTGCAGGGGATGCTCTGGGTCCTGCGGGTGTGGAAGGCAGCGGGCCCTCCACAAGGTCCTTTCTGCTGAGAAGCAGCATGACGAGTAAGTAGGGGGCTGGGAGCCTGGACTCGGGAGCCAGTCCGGGGAGACCCTGCTCTGCTCCGACCCTCCGGCTGGACGAGCTCGGTCTCCTCGCTGTGAACCGAGGTGACAGGGACATCTCTGCCGGCGGCCACGGGCCTGGGAGCAGACAGCACTGGGGTTGGTTCCCCAACTCCCACCCCGGCCTCCGTGCTGTCCAGTCACAGAAAGTTGGGGGGCAGACCACAGGCTGAGCCTGTCCCCGACCCACCCAGCTGGGACCCGTCGAGTCCACGCACCAGAGACTGTGCCACGGTAGGTCAGGGGCACGAGGGCTGGATGTCCACTCAGAGCCCAGCGGGAGCCAGTGCACCTCAAGCCCGGGGACAGAGCCCGGGGATGCGGGGGACGCAGGAATCCTCATGGCTCACGGCCACTGGCGCTGGGTCCACCGTTGCCTGAAACCACGAGCTTCCCAGTGACCTCACATCAGGAAGGTTCTGTCTCCATATGGAGATCCAGGAAGGAAAAACTAAAAGCTCACAGGACCTCACGGTATGAGTCCTGTTGGAAAGGCTCCATCTAAGTTTAACCAAACAAACTCCAGGGCAAAACAAACACACCAACCCTTTTCACTGAACATTTTAATAGATTTTTTTTTTTTTTCGGTACGCGGGCCTCTCACTGTTGTGGCCTCTCCCGTTGTGGAGCACAGGCTCCGGACGCGCAGGCCCAGCGGACACGGCTCACAGGCCCAGCCGCTCTGCGGCATGTGGGATCTTCCCGGACCGGGGCACGAACCCGTGTCCCCTGCATCGGCAGGTGGACTCTCAACCACTGCGCCACCAGGGAAGCCCTTTCATAGATTTTTAAGTAGACATGATGCTCACAGAAACAAGAAGGAAGGGAGGGAGTGGGGAGAGAAGGAGGGGAAAGAAAGAAAAGCACAGCTTCTCCCTAAGCCGAGCACAGAACTTAGCCGTCAGGGACGTCTTATTTTGTGCTCATCGAATTTGGACCACAAAGGGCACAGGAGTGCAGAGCACACATAGGGCCTCGCTGGGGGTGTGTCCTGGGTCTCGTGTTTCTCTGCTCATGTCAGACTGAGGCCACTTCCATGGGGCCTCCTCCCCTCCCCTCAGAAAGGAAAAAAGCGAATAGAAGTGATTTATTCCGTGTGGCAATGGCTATTACACAGCATCCAACCCACAGATGTTCACCTGCTCACCATCTTTTCCAAATGGTCCCCTGTCCAGGGGATCAACCCCTCAGAACTCCTGGAGGGGTGCTCACCTGGATGGAGGCTGGGAATCGTGCCCCCCGCCGCCCCAGGCAGCGCACACCCTGACACCCACACCCGCGCTGCCTCGGCCCCGCTGCCCTGCCTGCAAATCTTTATGAACCAACTCCCTCCTGCATACTCCTGACCCGAACTCTCACCCTGCGAACAGCTCCCGGGCACCTCTGCGTGTGTGTGTGGTGTGTGTGTGTCTGTCTCTCTCTCTCTCTGTATCTCTGTGTGTGCCTGTCTCTCTCTGGGTCTCTCTCTCTCTGTCTGTTTCTGTATCTCTATGTGTCTCTCTGTGTCTCTGTCTCTGTATCTCTGTGTGTGTCTCTCTGTGTGTCTCTCTCTGTATCTCTGTGTGTCTCTCCATGTCTCTGTCTCTCCGTGTCTGTTTCTGTATCTCTGTGTGTGTGTCTCTGTATCTCTGTGTCTCTTTGTGTCTCTCTCTGTCTCTCTGTGTCTCTGTCTCTGTATCTCTGTGTGTATCTCCC